GCTGCATTCAAAGCAGTGATTAGTGACCCGGAGTGAACGAGCTGTGTGACTCTTGACAGGTTACCCAGGAGACTGGGGGAGATGATTGTTAAACGTCACAATCAAATCATGGCGGTCATCGTGTGTAAAAAAAAAATAAAAATAATCACAATTTTGGTTGATTTATTATGTATAATGTTTATACTGTTGATATATTTTTCAATTGAATACAGTGAATTGTCTATGGGATGTCAGAATACACTCACTGGATTAGGTTTTCAGTATTCACTGTGTGCGTCTTACCTGCTGCCATGTGGATGAGAACACTCTTGCCCGGCCTCACGTTGGCCATCTCAAACAGCATCATGTAGGCGGTGATGTAGTTTATGGGGATAGCGGCACCTTCCTCAAAGCTCATCTGCTCAGGCATGGGGAAGGTGAGGTTGGCGGACACAACAACAACTTCCTGCCACATGCCACTGCGGCTCATTGCGATGACTCGATCCCCCACCTGAGGAAGGAAAGAAAGTAAATAAATGTATTTATTTTGGCACAATTCTGATATAAAAGAAAACATAAAAAAAACCCTGGTCCTATCTCTTTAAGGCTAGGAGTATGATCAGCTGCACAATTAATCTAATATTAATTGTAATCACAATTTTGGCTTCCCACAATTAAATGAACATTATCGACTCTGAAATAGACGTTGAAAATATGTGCTTCTCTCAAAAAACTCGGCTGCATATCAAATCAAGCGCCTCCTAAACTAACAGCCAGACGTTTGAGATGTTTACTGCTGCATGTACCATGTTTCTGTTCAAATGAGCTCAGACAAGGGGGCTTATGGGAAATGTTGTTCCTGCTTTGTGTCCTGCCTTCTACCACAGGGACGTGCTATTATACAAGTATCACTGGTGATGCGAAACTTGCCAAGAAAAGTGAAGGACTCAGGAAAGAAGTCCGATTGTGAACGCTGCACTGCTTCCTGTTAAAGCGGCCTCAAGAGCTCTGAGCCACACCCACTTCCTGCTGCACACAAACCCATCACAATAGACAAATGACACACAAATATTTACACCCACATGCACAGAAAATACAAACCTTCACACACAAACACATGTTGCATACGTCTGTTTAAGTGAGATAACCTCAATAGTGCTTACTTCCAGCTTTAACTTCCACCTTCGGGTGACTCAAACGCTCCTTTTTAGGGTTGATAAAGTTTCTCAACCTCTGGTCTTATGAAATACTTTCAGACACCCACTGAGTGACCTCAAAAAATGCATGATAGTCGATGTTAAAAAAAAAAAAAAAAAAAAAAAAAAAAAAGGCTGAGCTCACTTCCTGGAATGCTGACATGACCTGAGGTAACCAAAGTGATGTTTGAAGTAAGACAGTGAAGTGTGCGTGGAAACCTGCTGTTTATTTGAATACTACAAGACTTTTGCCAGCAAACTAAGCCAGACAATACAGTTTTTACTGCCGTTTATATCAATGCATGATACTATAAACACAGGGCATCTGCTTTAAAATGACCAGATAATTGTCAATATACTGAGCCGAATACAGAAGACATTGCCACACATCCTCTCATCACACAACCGTAAGCAGATTAAAGAGTTTATTTGCAGAACAGCCGGTGTCATCTCTTTCAAAGCGGGCAGTTTGAAGAGTTTAACTCAGCAATTACTGCTCAGTCTTCCAAAAATATCAATCAAGTTATGAGGCATAACCATCAATGCTTGAAACTGGAGAGGCAAGCTGTAATGAGACCCTACATCACACATCTGCTCCGTCTGCTATCCAGCCAGCCACGCCCTCCTGTCCTCGTCTGGAGAGGCCTTGCTGCTGGAGCCCGGCTCGATCTGGCCTGATTACAACAGGATCAGCCTCTCTTTGTAAACATGTGATAGCCTGCTGCTCCGTGCGTCCATGCATCCCACTGCAGTCCCTCACAGGGTTCACATCTCAAGTTCATACTTAGTGCTTGAACATCTTGAACCTTGTTGGGATCCTTACATGCACACAATCTGCACTGCTGCACGTGGTGTTTTGCTGCTTACTTCCAATAAAAAAAAAAAGGGGGTTTTGAGAGCGCACCGCACCTCTTATAGGATTCCTGCTCTCGAAAATGGAGAGAAGGAGGAATGAGAGGAGGGCTGGATAGGAGTGTAGTAAGGTGGTGGAGGAGGAAGGAAATTCCATACTGACACAGAGGGACACGGAGGGGTTTTGGTAATACCAAACACACATGTTAACACTAACAACACGAAAAATCTGTGCAATATAAAAATGATTCTGTCTTTATATATAATATTTTGTTATATTTTAACTATTGTGGATTTTTACTTATTTATAACACTTGTTTTGATCTTGTTTTTACTATGTCTCTTGTTTGCACTATCCACTATGCTGTTGTAATCCTGTAAATGTCCCCGCTGCAGGACTAATAAAGCATTATCTTATCTTAAACTAAATACTGGCCTATAAATCCTAATAATAAAAGATGTGTCTGATTGAAAGAGGACCGACGACTGACCTCAAAGTATCTCATTTGACTATTCAGACTGACTAAAGTTATGGCCTTGTTCACGCTACGGCTAAATATGGTTACTGCGTCTCATGTTAATATGGTCTCGTGTTCGCCATCAGAATGGTTACAAATCTAAACAAACTATGAAAGAAGTCACGACAACTGACTGAAGTCCTATGCAGATGAGCTTGGTGGATGCAAAATTGAGGTTGTTAAACAAGACGTGCAGCTGCTCTTAAGGTAGTTCACAAAAGACTCTCCCAACAATCTGGATGAAATACTATTCCGTGCAAATTGAGCGAGGACATATGTCATTACTGGCTGCCATCTTTGTTTGGTTTAGGAAAAATAGGTGCAACTTGGGAAACAGGTTTAGCTTTTTTTATTTTTTATTTTTTTAAAAAAAATCACGCAGCAGACAGAATTGAGGCAACTGTAACTCTAATGTACTGTTAATACACAAGAGGCACAAACTGGAGCTAGGGCGTACGATGATTAACGGTGCAACACTTCCTGAATGTTACACTTCTCTTGAATGATTGGCAAGAACAGCAGATCATGGTTCAACATATTTAGCTCCTAAAACAAAAAAAAGCTTCTTCGGTTTGAAATGATTGAAATGTATTTTCGAAGAAAATGAGAGGAGAAAAAACAAACAGTTGGTCCCCGAGGTCTGCATGGGAGTCATCTGTTGCCGACATTTACATATAAAAAACAAATAACGCAGCTCTTATGAACCCAAAGAGACAGCTGAAGAATCCTGTTATTCATTCAAATATGAGTGTCTTCCATTGTAGGCACGCAGAACACAAGAGACTTCAAATGCTGCTGCTTTGATTCGTTGTACCAAGTAACCAGATCTGAAACTGAGTGAAAACTGGAGTTTTTGCAAAAGCCTGTGGCATAAAGTCATGGAGGTTGCTTGCAATGAGTCACTATGGTTTTTTTTTTTTATCCGTTGTAGTAAAAATAAATGGAGAACAAATAACCAGTGGCCTCTGGATGCTCTGGGATCAGCTCTGCGGTATCTCAGGAAAATGTGCTTTAACTGCAGGGAAATCAGGTGCCTGTCTGCTCCAAATAGACCAGTCTGCAGCCGACAGGATTTAAGGGAGGCACAAGACACGTAGCATATAAATATTCTGTTCCCTTTCTTCATAAAACTCGACCTCTGGAAAGCTCTTTATCAAGAAGGTAAATGTGCTCTTGTGGCGTGGAGAAGAATGTAAACACACTTCAAGGACACACTGTAAATCAAACACTACTCATAACGCCAGAATATTACAGTTTCAAGCAAGAAAACACCATGTTACATTAATGGACGTTATTTGTGAAGGGGGTTCTGCTTTTTTCACTGTGCACACACACGCACACCATATTGAACAGAGATGTTTTAAAACATAGAAAAGGGCTGTTAGTACAAACAGTTATTAATTGGCCTATTCAGCAACTATTTTCAATTAATCGGATAATTGGCAAAAATGTCGAACATGTTTTGGTTCTAGCCTCTCAATTGGAAGGATTATCTGCTTTTCTATCATTAAAATCTTGGATATTTGGGGGTTTTGGGCTGTTGGACTGACAAAAGAAACAATTCCATCATCTTGGGCTGCAGCAAATTGTGACAGGCGTTTTTCACTTTTTAAATAATCTGCAGATTAATCTATAAAAACAAATAATCACGCAGGCCTAATTACTTGAGTAATACTTACTGCTGACAGACATTGGTTGTCAGCAGCTCAAGAAGGAAAGATAATATCAAGTCCGAGTACGAGTCTTAAAAGCATACATTTAAACAGTTTATTTCACTATGACCCTATAAAACAGTGAAATAATGGCTGCCCCTTTCAGAAGTCTGCCATCAAAAGGCCAACCGGTTTTCTTCATGTATTTATAACTTTCACATTAGAAATGTGGTTACTTAAAACGAAAAAAAATCTGGTTTGGTGTTAGTGGAAACGATTACTAGCATGCTTTGGCCTGGAGTGACAACCCATGTGCCACTGAGAACCAATAGGAAGCAGATATATCCACAGTCCAGAAACACTTTACATAGAAACACGTCAGTAAACCCACAGTTTAACTCAAAACTACCTCCTCAGCCGCTCCACAGCACATGCCTGACATATTTCGTGGTTTAAGTGGCAATTAGTGGGTGTGAGTGCGTTCGGCAGGCCTCCACTCACCTTCCTGTCCGTCACTCCCTCTCCGACGGCTTCAATGACCCCGGAGCCCTCCATGCCCAGGATGACAGGCGGGGTGGGCAGCAGCTCGTACAGACCCTGTTTGCCCAGGAGCTCGGCGAAGTTCAGCCCGCACGCCTTGAGGCGCACCAGGACCTCTCCTGCCTGCAGCTGCGGCCGCTCCTGCGTCTTCACCTGCAGCTTGATTTTCTCGTAGCCCCCGTGCCCCGTCAGGACCAGAGCCCGCCAGGAGAGGGGCTTCTCCTCGGCTGCAGGGCTGCTCGCCGACTCCTGCGGTGCTTCCGCAGCGGCCGCCGGCGGAGGTTCGTCGGGCTTCTTCTCCTGTTCAGGTTGTTGCTGCAGAGTTGGAGCCTCTTCGCCAGACATGATAAGCACTTGTGATGAGAGCCCTTCTAGGTGTTCGGTTCAGATCAATAGTTCAGCCTGTTTGGGCGTCAACACTCAGAAAAAAAAAAAAACAAGTACCGAAATGAAACAATCTCGAAAAATGCACGTTTTTGTGGTAAATTGACATAAAATAGGTCCCTCAGTTAAGACAGTCGTATCCTTTGTGAAATTAGATTGTCACTGCGGGGTTTCCTGTGCGTGCGCTCCGCTCAACAAGTGATCAACGTCAATGAGAATCATGAATTCTGGTTTTGATTTTCACAATAAGAAACTTCCTGTCACTTAAAAGCAATTCAATTGATCCAAAAAGTATAGTAGGCTATAGTGTAAACAATGTACAGGCTGTATTTAAGAGATTAAAGAAACATGATAGCCTATAACCATCAGTCGAGTCTTTCTTCGCACTGATGTGTTTATTTTCACAGGAAACGAAATGCAAAACACCATAATATTAATAGGATTTCTTAAAAGGATTGTGCTGGTGAAATATAGAAGAAAATGAAAAGAGAACAAACACAGAATAGACATCTACCAATTTGGAAAAAAAGGAAAAAACAATGACGAACATGAGATTTTATTAATGAAGTCATACGTTAGTATTTAGTTGATCTATCAAAATCAGTCCGAGGGAAGCCATGAGGTCTCCCTGACCCAAGAAATCTAGCCTATTCGCTTTTGAACAATAATGATAATATTAATAATTTATCAGATTTATATAGCTTTTGTCAGCGAAGATGTGTTACAACAAAAAATGCGCAGAAAATATAAGCTGAGGTTTAATAATCGCTTTGTCCCTGTGTGGGTGCACACAGGGACAAAGCGAGTTTCCATTTCCATAGTTAACATAAATAATAAACAACATTTCTGTGAGTGTAACTGAATGAGTTCCTTTTAATCTGAAATCGACATAAAGCAAGATGTCACAGTTTTTAATGCTCCATAACCAAATGTGATATCAGCCTACATTCACTTGGCTAACTGACATTACATTTGCTCTTTAGAATGAGCCATATTTCTCGTGAATAGGATTCCATTTATGAAACTGACTTGAAAAAGCTTTTATTTCAATGGCAAGTCTTGTCACTTCCGGTGTTTTCCTACCTATTTGTTGCAGGCTTGACGCAGTTTAAAAAGTGACCGATCCGTTTCGTGGGCAAAAAGCTCAGAGATGTGAGCCAGAGAGCTGCGGAGAGCTTCAAACCCCGGACACTGGAGTGCTGGGAGGAAGAAATGGGATCGTTTAACTTAAGCTGTCACAGCTGGAGGAAACACATGCAGCAGTTCTGCTCCCATCTGCTGTTCAAGAGTTAAATAATGTTACAGCTATCTGGTGCACACAAATGTAAATAAATGATTATCTCCAGTATGCAGCGTTTGTTTTTGCAACAAAAAGTTTTTAGTGTATTTTGCACAGTCTGAGGTTAGTTGTATGGAAGTGTGTGACATTTATTATTTATTTATGAGAAATTAACTTAAAGACTTTCATTTCAGAATGAGAGTCACAAACTTCTATATGTTGATCCTGTAATACATTATTCTAAAAAAAAAGAAAGAAAGAAAGAAAATCTAATGTATTTAAGGTCTTTACCATCTGTAGGCTTGCTTTTAAAACTCCTGACACAACTGGACAATTTAGGACATACTCAGGTGAAATACTTATAAGGTCCTTTCCTTCATGGCAATTATTAGTTTCCGTCACCCAACTTGTACCCACACACTGTCTGTGCACACTTCTTGCACCCTGCAACTGGAGCTGCTGTCTCATCTTGTTATGATGGTTGAGTCTGACAGACAGGAAGTGGAGGGATGGAGAGCTAGATAGAGGTGTTTTTAAAGGGCAGGAAATTCCTTTTTTATTAATGTAAAAGCCACATGTAAGGTCTGATGTTGGTTTCACACTTCCCTTTCCCCCGTTCAAGTTCTGAAGAAGCTGTCACTGACATTTAAAGACACACACACACACACACACACACTAGTCACACTCAGGATGCTTTTGAATGCACCATGTGACCACTTAACAGAAGTGTTCCATGCTAGAGCCGCTGTCAGCTACATTGTTGTCTGAAAGCTTCTTGCCATAATAACGTGTATGACATATTTTACTTTTGAATTTATTTTTGTTAATCACATTTTCCTCATAAAAAAGAAGTTAAGATTTTTTTTTTAAACTCCCTGTGAACTCAATTAAAATGGGGAAAAAGGGGAACATTTGACAATACGCATTTCTGATATAGTTGGAGTTACAGTGTGTTAATTCATTTATATGTCTTACCAACTCTAACGACCCTATACAAATGTTTCCAGAAACAATTAATCTAAAAAAGTGCTGCAAGCACATACAACACATACAATGTTAAGCTACTTGTACTTTACTTAAGGATTTTCATTTTCTGATGATTTATACTTCTAATCCTTTACAATTCATGGGGAAGATATTTTACTTTTTACTGCACTACATTCTTCTGACAGTTATAGTCACCAGTTACTTTGCAGATTAAGAGTTTACTTAGAAAATCTGTGATGAGTTTATAAATTATGATGCACTGGATTACGTAAACTACCCAAAGTATACAAACTAGCCTTGACCTCCCATACAATTTAAATGATGCTTGCATGTAAAATGCAATAATGAAGTGTTGTAATATTATGACATGGACAGGAACCATTCTGCTGCATAATGAGTACTTTTGCTTTTGATATTTTAAGCACATTTGGTTCATTACACTTCAGTATTGCTGTAACATTAAACTTCATTTAAAAAAAAAAAAGAAAGTATAAAATATACTAAATTAAAAAAACTGTAGCCTGTGGCAAATAAATTGACTACTTCAGTTTGACCAGAAGATGGAGCTAAAATACTTTCCTCAGCTTTCTCTCTGTCTCTGAGTCTGCTCACTGATCTTATTGAATATGACAATTTATAAAGTCAATAATTTAGTTAAATGACTAATAGTTATTCATAGGCTACCAAACAGTCAAAATGCAGGTTTCTATACAGGTTCACGTGCCAGTAAATCCAGTATCATTGATTAAAACTGAATTGTAAAAGCTCTTAACTGTACGGGGACTATGACATGCTTGAAAAGCAAAGTGTGTGAGAGAGAGCCATTGTATGTATGAAGTATAGGCTACATGAACAGCCTATTGTACTGTGTAACACTTCATTGTGATAATGATAAAGCACGATTAAATCTAAAATAGAATACACTTTACTAAAATTTCATAAAGGTTTCATTACATTGAAAAATATGTCAGATATTCTCTGTTATGTTGATACAAAACATCCACATTTGATATGTGCTACTGTTTACTGTGAGAGACCATTCATATGAATGCATGTCACTGTTTGAGACACGAAGACAGCAGTGAAAGCCACGGGAAGACCGGAAGTACGACGATTTTGCCTTCAAAATAACAGCAAAGAAAATACAATTGAAAAATAACAATACATTAATAATTAATTAACTAATTTCTCTACCCAATCAATTTAGCTCGAGTATTACTGAGGACGTATCAGTATTTTTGGGACAGGACACTTTATCTCTGGCTGTGTGGTTACATTTGGTTATTATGATCAAAAGACAAACCTTACTATTGGTTAGTTTTGATGCACACAGGCAACCACAATATGTGTTAAAAGTTTACATCTAATCCACCAGATACATATAACGTTATATATCGTAATATGTACTCTTTTATTTTGAAAGATCGCACAGGAAAAACGTTTTTAGAGACGCTCCTTGACAGAAGTTGGCGGTGCGCCTCACTTCATCCGTGGAGCAGAGGAGCGCAGCATTACGCAGAGCATGTAGCTGAAACTACATCAGACTGCGGTGCTGAAGTTTTTGGATCGGACTTTCTTTTTCTTCGGGAGAAACATTTACGACATTTAGAGCTGCTCTTCGACACTTAACCTGTTTGGAGCTAAAGGCAGCGGAACTGAACCACGCAGCGATACTCGGGTCACCATGGAGAGCAATAAGGGATTACTTCGCTGTAAGATTGTGGTGGTCGGCGATACGCAGGTTGGCAAGACTGCTCTCCTTCACGTTTTTGCCAAAGACTCGTACCCGGAGGTAAGAGAGACTATCTCATTGAGATAAACACACAAATAAAGTCCCTAAAAACCACACGGCACGACTAAGTCTCCATCCAGCCGGACATTTCCAGTGAAACTTCAAAACCTGCTGATATTACCTCTGATACCAGATCATCTCATCTGGGAACTGACTGATGACACACAAGATGTTATTCACATTTATTTATTCTAATGTGGTTTTAGTCCTTTTTAATTGATGCCATTTAAATTAGATGCTGCCATGCCCATGGGTGCTTTCTTTAGGCAGGGTTATGTCTTTCTCTATAATATCATTTAGCTTGATCTTTGCGGTCAAAACAGATTAAATAATTACATTTTTAGGTTTCAGACTCATGCCCGTTCACTGCCCAGTTGCCACAGAAATCTAGGCTCTGTGCGCTTTGCGCATCGCGCGCGTCAGTCCGTGCAGGAGCAGTCCGTCAGTAAATACTGAAACATCACAGCAACAACCAGTGAGCTGAACAGCCTCTGAATCAACATCTGTCTTTCTAGAGTGTGTGCAACATGCGAGTAATTAAATGTACAATTACAATGTTTTCATGTGAGACTAAAAACTCTAAATGTCTAATGATATTAAGACAAGACAATTCACATAATCTTAAAGATTTACGGTTTAAAAATAAGAAAATGTATTGAACAATGTGACCTTAAATATTTTGCAGATAAGTGTTAAATGAGCAGTGGACATTTTGGACAATATCAAGTGAGATTTTCAATGAATAAATAAAATCTGTGTTTATGTTTTGTCTATTAATGATAATAAATGAACAACAATGGGAAATATAATTAATTTGCATATATTGTATTGCAAATAACAAATATATGGTACACTGTATGTTACCCCAAAGTAGAAGACAGATTGAAATATCCTCTGTACTTCAACCGAAAATGTTGAACTGTTGAGGACAATGAAATCAAAGCTCAGAATTAGCCTCATCTACTTTACACAAACACACTAGAAATTCTTACATCATCTAAATTGAATTTCACCATGTACACAACCACCCCTGTGAGCTTTCATCTAATTTTGGCCACCCGTGTCTCTTTTCAGAATTATGTTCCCACCGTGTTTGAGAATTACACAGCCAGCTTCGAGATCGACAAACAGAGGATCGAGCTCAACATGTGGGACACTTCAGGTAAGACGCACTTGGCTTTGGTTTCACCCCTTTGTGTGGCGAGATTAAGATGCCAATGTGATGATGAGTGGTGTGCCGCATCATTGGCCCATGAACGAGTTTCTTTAACAGGCGCTCCAGTCTCGTAAGCAGCTGACTCTTTGGAGCGTTCAACAACATACAGGCTGTGGGCCAGAAACATTAGCAACCACTAAGAGTGTGTCAGGATAATCTGTTGGGAGTACTGAACGACACATGTTTTATGTTCAATTTAATGTAGACCCACCACGAGCAGAAACAGTGTTTTTGTTACTTTAGTCCTGTCATCACCTTTAGAATTAATTTGAACAGCCGCTTCAGAGTTATATCAGCTCTGGGAGAGGATAAACAACTTGTCATTCAACATATTGCCTGCTCCAAATAGCTGTCACGACATAATCATTTCTTATTTTGTGTTAACAAATGTTGATTGTTGAATTGTTTGTCCACTGGTGATACGGCTTTGGGCCAGCTGTTCAGAACTACGAGGTTAACTGTAATATGTGAGGAAGACTCATGCCACAATGTGGATTTTTAGGCCACACAGCTGAAAGTTACTTTACATTTTTGAGACTAGACTTTCAACAGCCGAGAGTTCGTGGAGCTCGAACAGTCAGATTCTTTCGAATGTAAGCTAACTTTCTTCCTTTGTCAGCCTTCAGGCCCTTTCATATTTCATTTCCACTTCCATAACGACACCCGAAAAACTTGTTCTCACACCACCACGGAGAGCAGCATTAGTTCACAGCGTTCCATTAACCTCCACCCATGCAGACATACGGAAAGACCAGCTAGACAGGCTGGAGATTAAGAGCTGCTGCTGCTGAGGCTGGTGCTGCCTGTTGGTTTGCAGTGGGTGAGGCCACTCGACTGTGTTTGAACAACACCCTCTGAAATTGCTGGTTGTTTCTCCCACACTCACACACACACAAACGCACACATTGAGCTGTGTGGTGGATGAAAATTACGCGAAAGGAATGCTTAAACAGTAATTTACTCCACCGCACAAAACAATTTCAATTCATCTTTCTGCATGAATCATGTGCTTTTCCCTTGAATATGTCATAATAATGGCATCCTCTTGCATACAATAGAACATAGGACATAGCTCCCAGCTGTGAATACCTGTACCTGTGTGAATAAGATGGAAGCCATTTTGTCATCAAAGCTTCCCTAAGCCTTCTCCATTAATACATTTAGCAAAAATCTTTTTCTATGTGAGCGTGTGCTCCTGTGAAAGAAAAATGTGAAACGAGTTTAATAAGAAATACTTTATGAAGGTTTTATGGGAGGATACACACCAGCCACATTGATTTTTTTCCAACCTGACAGCCCAAATACTGAATTCATAGCTTTTTATTGATTTTTAAAGCAGTAATAAATAAAAAATATTCAAGAATATGCTAAATTGTACTTAAAGTTGTCGAGATAAAGGTAAAGGAAGGCCCTTAGGAGTCATCATTTTGGAAAATACTTTGTTATTTTCTTGCCGAGAGTCAGATGAGAAAATCAATACCGCTCTCACAATAAATCTGAAGCGACTGACAGCAGCTGGTTATCTTAACATAATAAGTATTTATAAATATAGAAAATGTATTGGATTTCTGTCAAAAAACAAAGTTTGAGTGATCTAGATTATGGCAGGTGATCCGTGTCTGACCTGAGCTGGCTTCCTCCAGCTCTGACAGAAGGCGTGTGCGTTGCCTCGCAGCGTCCCTGCGAGCTATTCTGGGTCTGCCCCAGCGGACAGGTGCATTGGCACCTACATCAGTATTACCACAGTTCCCCCTGGTACCTGCCTCTCCTCACTAATAACTGAATAGGGGGATTACAGTCACTCGGCGTGCTTACAAGGATGGTTTTGTGTGTGTGCTGCTGCAACAGTCGCTGTAAAACCCTTGAGTTCTGAACTTTGGTTCTCACTTACATTTGCCATTTCTTATGCAATCACAGTTTTGTTTGAGTATATACATATATGTCTGCTGGTGTGTGTGTGTGTGTGTGAGTGTGTGTATTCACTGGCATGTGCAGGCATGCGTAGGAGACAGTCGGGAAAATGTTTGTCCGCATGTAGTTTGTTGTCTGTGTATGTGCCGGTGTATGTCATGGCTAGTGTGAGCAGTTTGCATGACAGCAGGTGAACTGAACCAGTGGGAGAGAGGCCGTGGCTGAAACTCAGTTATCGAACATGCATGATAGAATCAATATCATAACAGTTTAATACTCATTTTGGTGACAAAGTGGTACCAATTTAATGTCAAATTCTTTTAAAAAGTGCTTGTTGAGATTTGTTGTAAGGAGATTCAGAGAACCAACGGATGCAAATACAGATGATGAAAGAACACAAAGTCATCACAGTTTTATGATACGAGGCCAGCGCTCCAGTGAGGATAACAGATTAGAGAAGGAAGGATGAGAAGATAAGGAGTGTTGTGAGAGTGAGAGGCAAGGTGCCAGAACGAGCTTCAGAGCTGCTCGCTCATTGTGCAGAAACAAACAGTGGATTTAATTAATCAGGCACTTGCTGTGTGACCAAACACTTGCCCCCTGTCTCCTTCATTCCTAATCTCGCTACACCACCCACTGCCTCTTCACCCTCTTGCCTCTACATCCTTACATGCTTGCTTCCAGACTCCCTGCCTCGTAGGTTAAACTCTATTTTATTTATTTGTTTCTGTCTTCCCGCCGAAGTAATTTCCTCCCTCGGTCTACTCTGTGTATACAGTATATCTGTTATCCTTCATTATTGTCTCAATCTTTCTGCCAGCCTCATCGCTTTCCTTTTCTGTCTTCCATGCTGGGTTGTATGCTGAGTCAAGATCGACAGTCAGAACAATATTAGTCAAGATGAGTTTCAAAGTGCTTTTTCGGCCTTGGAAAAGCAGTTGACAAACCAAACTCACCTTTCTCCGAATTTGTATCCATATGTGTATTAGTCAGCAATTAGAAATCCAGCAGTGTTTTATTTTTGAACTTAATTTAGGAATATTATCAATTAAACACAATATAAACTGGTACAATAAGGGCTTTATTTCAGTTCATATTGTGCATACAGTATCAGCAAACTAATTTGAAAATAATAAAATGACCAAAATCACCACATGATGAATCTGGAAGCGTCCAGCCCCCTAAGGGTCTGGGGTCCCGGTGCAGTTGCCAGCCCTGAAATGACACTCTGTCCAGGCCTGAAAATCAGACTGAATTGCCCTTTTGTTTCACTTAATTTCTCAGTCTGACATCGTGTTCCATTGTTAGCCAATTCTGATTGGAAGATTGCCCAAACCAATCAGTAGCAATAGCGCCCATTCATTCCAATGAAAATTGCTCAACTAGCGCATACGCCAAAAATGTTTTCTCACTTCTGGTTTGCTTCTGCACATGTGCACGAGTTTTTCCTCCCTGGCCCAGGCTAGTCCTTCCCAAGATCTATCAATCAAACACCAACACTCTTTACTTTATTTTGTATTTGCGTTTCATTTAATCGGTTCTATGCTTTATGGTGCTGAAAAAAATGTGGATTTAAAATCGAAAGCTTGTTGGGACACAATTAAAAATGAACAAAAAAAAATGATTTCTGCTCATAACATATCACTTAAGAAATAAGTCAAATTCTCCTTTGTACGAAGCTTCTGCAATATCTGAATGTGCCTCCTGGAGTCATCAAAAGGCAATTGACCATAAAACAAAAAACAAATTAGTCTCAATTTGCAAGCCATGTTAATAACGATGACACAGCAGTTGTGTGTAGTGAGGGACCTTTGGTCACCAAATGAAAAATAAATAACAAGACTGAACTTAAAATCTTATCCCAGCCGACCTCATGTGCTACAGTATAACACCGTTTTCACGACTTGATTCTCCTTTCTCTGCACTTTTCTCTCCCTTTCTTTAGTTTCATTCCTTCTTTATAACGCTGGCTGCAGACCTCTCACCAGTCTCTTCTCTCTGTTTCCAACTAGCCAAGGTCAGGAGTCCCACTGTATTGGGGCACTGCCCTCTCAGCACTCTTGCACTTGATTAGCTTAGCTTGCAATTTCTTTGTCAGTCTCTCCATCTGTCTTCATGTCTCTCCTACACTTCACACTAAATCGTTTTCTCATTTCCTTTGAAAAATCCCATGCCTCCTCCGTCCTCAGCCCGGTGTGTCCTGGCAGTTCAGATACCACATATGACTCACTCTAATCTGTCTTTATGGGCTGTGACAAAAAACTGACTTGGTGCTCAGAGTAATTCTGCACGCATCTGGTCAATTATTACCAATTTGCCAATGTGGCTCTTAAAAAGGTCATAAATTAGATTAATAGACAGACTCCAGGGGTGACCTTTAGATTCTTAATTAATTCCCCGAGGTTCATTATGAATATGTCCTAAAATCACAATTCTAGAATCCAAGGTAATGTTATGTTGTGTAATAATATTAAACTTGGTATTAAAACAGACCTGTCCTGGTTCGCCTTCTGGCTTTATGAGTTCACATGTCATGACTTGTCAAGCATGAAAGTATGGAGGTGGTAAAACAAGTTTTTTTGGGAAAAGCACATTACACAATCTTTATGTTTTGTCATATTAAATGTGGGGAAAGAGAGACACGTAGGTGGGTATACTGTAGCTTTTAAATAGGCAGCCATGTAATATATTTGACATATCGAATTATAGCTATAGGGTTGGTGAAATTCTCCTAAAACATGTTTTGTTATATTTGTTGAAATTATCTTTACATCCTGACAGCAATCAATAAATCAAATACCCTGACAAAAAAAGAGAAATAAATACGTTATCGATAGCGATAATTTCATTCGACCCAAATTAAATGATCGTAAGGGCTAACTGTGTGTTCATCTGCGTGTATTCTGTAACAGCTGAGTACTAACAATAGCCATGTTCGTTTACATTCATTAGGATATGTTTATGTTCAGAATGATAATCGGGGGGAGCAGTTTTGAATGCAGGCCTGAAGGGACAGACTCTTTTATTTTGATGTA